CTATATATATATATATATATATATATATATATATTTTGATAAGATCATTTAATCCTAGTGGAGGAGTACGAGAATAAATAAGTCTGTCGGATCTCTCTTGCTCTTAAAGATGTTTTTTGGAACTAACATATTTCGAGAAGATAAAACTGTATGTCCATCATTCAAAATGGACAATTCCTCACGAGTCTTATGGGTCGGACCAATAGCTAATCAACTAAATGATAGGAAGTCAAAATTAAAGTATTTTGTTTTAGCTAAGTTTGAACCTCGTTAATCGTCTCCGGTGAGAATTCAAACTCATCCAATAGGAACATGAGGTTTAATAATTTAAGCTCATTAATCACATTATCAAATCAAAATAGTAATTAATTATTCATTCAATAGGTCAAATGCTTAAACTGTGACTAATTATATCGATTCTTATAGCGTTCGACTAGTAATTATCGTTGGATTAGATTATTTACACATCATAATTAAGGTCTGGCAAAAAAAGAAATAATAAACACGGGCGTTCGTGGCTCGCATACCCACGTGGCGTCCATCAAGAAGGTCACAGCTCTCCAGCCACCTTTTCTCGCCCGCTGGATGTGCCCCACGAGATCGTATTGCCCTGCCTCGTCGAGACCCTCGCGATTTCATCGCGATAGATGCCGACCCTCCCCTCCATCGGACCAGAGTTCCTCTCTCGATCGATCCAGGTTATTCAAGCTTGTTCTTGCCGTTCCTCCGCTCGTTACTGTTCTCTTTGTCATATTTATTTCTCTTTTTTTGGGTGTAATTTTGGTCTTACTTCTCCTCAATTTTTCACATATTTGTATGAATTTTCGCTTCGTTTTTTCTTGTTCACGATCCTAATTTGAATTGGCGGTCTGTTATGTTGTTTCATGTCTCTTTTCTTTGTTGTTTTGGGCCTATTTTGACGCCATATTCGCTAGGTTACTTGGATTAATTTTCTTTAACATGAACACAGAGTCTGTTCGAGATATCAGCGAGTCGTGTTGATAGAACCTTTGATAGGATTTTCTACTCGGACTGTTTCTTTGATGAAAATATCATGCTGCTTTAAAGAAATTGAAACTATAATTGTTGGTATTAACAGTCTTCAGTTTAATACTGATTTGTGGTAGTTGGTTTCATGGTCGAGACATGTATTGGATTGTTTGTAGGTGAGATTAAACACTTCAACAGGAACTAAGTGGGAAGGCATACATCTGTTTTATCTTCCTTTTTGTTGAAATAGAACGAAGAAGCATGATAGCAGCTGACTGATAATTCGACATGTGACAGCGTCATTCATTTTGTATTAATAAAAATTGTTCCTGAATTGGAAATTCATTTGATGTAATTTTGACTCTGGATATAATAATATAAATTGTTGCAATATTAATCTAAGCAAAATAAATAAATAAATAAAGGAAAAGAAGAAAAGAAGGACCCTATTTATAAACATCTTATCAGCTTCATTATCAGCTTCAACTGTGTCCAAGTTTTCTTTGACTCAACTTTTAGATTTTCTTTATGTACTTGCTCTATAAAGTACTATAGGTCATACCTTTTACATATTCCTATATGACAAAGGTAAATCGTATTTTGTGGATGTTGGGTCAATAAGAATAAGTTGTGTTATGTCATGATGCCATTAGCAAGAAACTTTATATTGTAAGGTTTAACTGACTCATTATAGCTAACAACTTAGCTAGTTACAATATGAGATGGTTTTTACAATAACAACAACAAAGTTGTAAGCCCCAACTATTTGAGATCGGTTACATGAATCTTTTGCAGCCATTGAGATTTGTAAAAAAGTCATAAGTTTAGTTACATTTAAAATATTTAAATATTTACTTACAGTTTTTATTAAAGCCTTTTTATGTCTTCCTCTATCTCTCCTCGTACCACTAACCTTAATCATTTCATCTCTTTTAACTATCGCATCTGGATGTCTCCTGAGCATATGCTCATATCATCTTAGACGATTTTGTTTTATCATTTCCTCTATCGAAGCGTAATACCTAGTTGTTCATGAATAAAAAGTATTTATTTTCCTATATTTCTTAGTAACTATACACATCCATCTGGATGTTTCCTAAACATATGCTCAAACCATCTTAAACGATTTTCTTTCATCTTATCTTCTATCGAAGCGATACCTAATTGTTCACGAATAAAAGTATTTCTTTCCTATATTTCTTGGTAACTCCACACATCTATATCATTATTCTCATCTTGACAACATAAACTTTTTATATATATTGTTTCTTAACTACCCAACACCCAGATTCATAAAGCATTGTTGGTCTCACAAGTCACAATTTCTTTTTAATCTTAAAGACATCTGATGATCACACAAGACTCTTGACACCCTTGTCATTTTAATCATCCTGTTTTTACTCTATGAACATTATCTTCATCGATCTTTCCATTTTGTTGAATAATTGATTCAAGATACCTAAAGCTTTTACTTAAAGAGACTTTTTGTTCATTCAACTTCTCTTGTTTCTTTCTAGAATTACTAAAATTACATCTCATATATTTAGTTTTAGTCCTACTTAATCTAAACCTTTAGTTTATAAGGATTGCCTCCATAGCTCAAGTTTATAATTAATTCCATTTAGGCTCTCATCAACTAAGATAAAATCATCAGCAAATAACATACATTAGAGAGGTCCATTATGTAAATGACTAGTAAGTTCTTCCATTATCAATGTGAAAAGGTAGGGAATTAATATAAATCCTTAATGTCATGTGATCTGATATAGTTTTACGTTGTTTGTTAGTGGCCTTACACAACCCTCTACCTTTTTTTATCCAAACTTGGGACCGGCATTGGTGGTGTTAATCAAAGGATTTTTAATAACCCACAAATAAAGCTATATATTTTCATATGCTGGAAAACAGAAATTATGATTTTATAACTGTGTTCTTATCGGATTATTCTATAAACTTGTTCAATTTTTTTATTTATGGAAAAAAAAATCATATTAACTTGGCAGTTGTTGTTCTGGGGTGCTGCCAAACTATTTAGATGACATAATTGCTGAAGATGAGATATTGTCCATCCTGAATGTTCCTCCTGGGAAAATGGGGCGAGTTTATTAGGAGAAAGGGAGCCTTTTTCCAGTCTGTGAAGGAAGCTTGCAAGTATGCTTTTCATTTGTACATCCAAATATAACTGTCTATTTGAACCCGATGCTTGTTTCTGAATAGCCTTAGCTACCTGCTTTATAAGATATTTCATTTTGTCTTTTGAAATATTGCAGTGCAGAAATCATTATCGGTGGTGCAAAGGGGCCTCCTGATAAGGCGAGGGTTTGTCGTTTTCAATCTCTAACGGTCTTTACTCTCGATGGAAATCAGTAGGTCAATGAAACAGGTACCTAAGATAGAATAATGTAAAGCATATGCTGAGAGAGAACAAATGTAATACAACTCAAGCTGCAAAGCCAAGCCCAATGAATGAAGTGATTCACAACGTCTTGGTGTTAAAACAATTGTTTCTTCAGGGATCTTATCTTCAATATCACTAAGAAATGCCTATCACCTTGAAACGTCAATTCACAATTAGAATGTCTCCAATCAAACCTTGTTAATGTCCTTAATATCTTTGGACATTGGCACAGTGTTTTGTCCTAACCACCATGTGTGCAATTCTAAGAATTATGAACTTCTATTACCAGAAACTAATTACTCTTGTACAGTGAACTTAGTTATGAAATGTATTTAGAGTTTTTAGCATCTGAGCCATAATAATGCAAATGATTCTTGTTTTTGTGAGATTTACATATGTAATGTAAAGTGGGTGTTTATACAGATCCAATTTCCAGTGTGGATTTGAGGAAGTGACCAGTTTTGAAAGGCAAGGACAGGAAGGACATACATACATACTATATATACATGTGTGTGTGTGTGTCATATAATTGGATAGCTGGATTAGCTAATTTTGGTTCGAAAGTCTGCAATCTTTCCTCTGTCACTTGAACTATTGGAGATGGAATTTGTGAAAACTCAGCTATCCTGTTTTGAGTTACTATTGTGCTTCATAACCCTATATAATGGAGTTAGTTTTGCAACTATGCATTGTGCCCGTGGCTGGATTCATCCTAATTCAGTTATATGCGTCTGTCATGTGTGATTCTATCGGTAGTTTTGTTATGTGTATCAATATGCAATCTCAGTGTTGATGTCTTCTCCCTAGGTGTATTTCATTGGGCCTGTGATGCAAGGAAAGCTAAAGCAATAATCGGAGGGTGTATGCTTGAAATATAGCTTCTTCCTGTGGGAACTTCAGCTGATCATCCTACTAGAACAAAGGATGGCTTTGAGCATCTTTTTTTTCTGGAAAAACAAATTGCATGAGATTGTTGTTAATCTATTGTAAAAAACAAGTCTATTGACAGTCTCGCTCAAGTTGTGTTTTCCTTCTCTACATAATTGGATGGCATATTAATTTAAAGGAGTCTGTTCCCTTTTTGTTGTGGTAAGAATCATATGCTTCCACAGCAAACAAAGAACTGCTGTGGTTATCATTTTGTCCTTGATGATGAAAGTTCAGTAAGTGCTAGGTGATGCTTTGGACATTGGACAATGATGGAACCATGTGTTGTATCCATGTACCAGAGTTCAAGCTTGTCCACCTCCAGCATCCGATGCGTGTGCTATCTCATCCACTTCAAGTAAAGTTTCTAACTTAATATCATTATTATGCTGAAGGATTTGTTCTTGTTTGCTTGTCCTTGGGGGGACCAACTCAGTGTGTGGTATGTGCATGCATCACAATATCACATACATTTCGTTGTCAATCTTGTGGTAAAGCTTGCGATAGGTGTTGGGGAGCGCGGTGTGGGCTGCCGCAAAGCTGTCCACCGGAGCTACTGGTTTAGCGGGCACGGTAGAAAGCGATCACCATGTGGCAGTGACGACGGCAGCGGGTCAATTCAGATTTATCGGCCTCTACTCATTTGTCACTAGTCACTCGTCCTCTCAAGTCATGTTGTAGATTCTTCGGTGAAGGTAGAGCCGATGCCCACTCTTATTTTCTTGATTCTTTGTTGACAGTGGTCCTAAGGAGGCGACGCGGATCTATGTTGGAGCTTTCCCTTTAAGATGTCGAACCCATTGCATAAGATTCAGGTATGTAATAATTTTACCCTTACAAATGGCGTTACTGTTTTCACGTAAGCATCCCACAATTCTCAGCTAACTACTTTGTGACCGAGTACAATGAAAGATATGCTCCAAAAGAGGTGTGTCGATGTTAATGCTCAAATCATTTTATAGTCAATGACAGATTTTTAAGGGAGAACAAAAAACAAAAAAAAAAACATTAAGCTATGCTATTGAGAGAACATCAGACTTGCCAATGTGCATTTAAGTTCCAGAGCTAAATTATCCTTCCAATTAGATTAATCTTGATTTTTGTATAGGTAAAAATGGGTAAAGTTTAACCATAGTGAACATATGATAGTGTATTATTACATAAATAATAGGTCTAAGGTCTGAATCCACGTCATTTGATATAATAATTTAAAAAAAAAATATTCTTGCCATGTGTGTTATTAAATTGACTTGGGTAAAACCAGTTAAAAGTTGGTTGCTTCTAACTGCCATTGGACTGGACTAAACCTCATAGCAGAGATTGTGGGTAGGAAATTTGAGTTGATTATAGGGTTAAATAAATTCACTGCTACTAATTTGGATTGAAATTTTCTGTGACATGGACACTACAAAAAACACTAAGTTTACTTAATATCATATGATTAAGCCTGTGAATCCTAGCATGCTTAACAGACAACAGAGGATGGTGCTCAAGCCTCTCACTCCATGGCTTACTTTTTTAAGTTTGCAAAAACCAGCAGAAGCCTCCAAAATCAGTACAGGCCTTTTGTCAGCTTAGAATTATTCAATCACCAGTTCTGAAGTCTCATATGCTGCCCATCTACTGAGGTCTCTCGCCTTCTACACCTCTTCAGAACTCCCAACAGAACAATCCCCTTAAAAAGAAGGGTCACCTCTACAACTAGTAGTGAGCACCAGTTGCCTCCCTCTTCATAAGCTCAGACTCTGAGAGGAGTAAGAAGGCCAGGTAGAGATCACAGACCTTCACATTTCTTTCTTTCTGGGTGACACAGCGTGTGTGACTGTGTTATGCCTTGGTTGCAGGAATTTAATGCTTTGTCTGCTAGCAGAGACTCTGCCAAGTTTCGGTTGTGAAGTTGCCAAGGCAGAAGACTGTTCTTGCTGCGTCGGCTGGTGAATGCCATTGCGAGTAATCCCATACGAACACCGGACCACAGATGCAATGGAGTTGATTCATTGGTTACGTTTACCATGCTTCTGAGACCGAGTGAATCATCAGGTTCTCAAGCTTGATTGCTTGCTGCACTGAAGAAGGTACAAATCACAGTTCTGGTTTCCATTGATGCAGATGCAGAGATGATATGTCTCAGTCTCTTACTTCTTTGCACTTTGTGATAAGAAGAATGTTGACACAGGCCTGCAACTCCAAGAACAAGCTGTGAAATGGAGAGTTTAGGCAACCACTACGACAGCTTTGCAGGATCCGATGAAGAGTTCAGCGACATGGCCGGGAAGCTCGAGCTCGACGATCTTTTCCTTGCATCAAGCATCCAGAGCCAAGAAATCACTGTAGGCGAAGCAAGCTTAGATTCCAACAAGATCGGTGAGATGGTTGACGCGTCGATTCCGCCTCCAGATACAATGAACCGTACTGTGCTGCATCTTCAAGATATGATAAGGTTGGATGCCCATCCTCATGAGCTGATGGAATCAGGTGCCGTATGGGGTGATGCGCTTCTTTCTCAGGCATGTGCTGCTTCTCAACCCATCAGCGGATACTGCAACGAAGCTCGAGCAGATGGCATATCTGCCACCTTTTCCGGCAGCGAGAACTTCCGTAACTTGAGTTGCACTGGCGATATTTCTTCAGGGAAGTCTAAGAACCATGGCTCATTCGATCAACACAGATGGAGTAGGGGTGCAGTGGCCTCCGAGGTCTCTCCTAATCCACTTCCCAATGCCAAGAGAAAGTTCGAGGAATGCACCGGGATAGGAGAAAACAAGACAAGCCTTCTCCAACCTAGTTCTTTGAAGAAACCAAGACCGGAAAAGCATTCAGGATCTTCCACCATCAACTTCGGTCGGGACAGCAACTACGAGCCCGACACAGAGGCTGTAGCACAGGTGAAAGAGATGATCTACAGGGTTGCTGCTCTAAGGCCGGTGACTCTGGAAATGGTGGACGCAGTGGAGAAGCCGAGGAGAAAGAACGTGAGGATCTCAAGCGATCCGCAGACGGTGGCTGCAAGACAGAGGAGGGAAAGGATCAGTGAGAGGCTGAGGAAGCTGCAAAGTCTGGTCCCGGGAGGGAGCCAAATGGACACTGCAACCATGCTTGATGAAGCTGCCAACTATCTCAAGTTCCTCAAGTCTCAGGTCAGGATATTGGAAACCCTAGATAACAGGCATGATCCAGGAAACAACAGTACCATGCACCCCTTTCCATTCCATCTAAGCCAGGCTTTTGCAGTGCAACAGCTTTATCCCACTCAGAAACCCTAACCCTAAAGGTGAGGTATAAATCAAGTCCTAAGCACTCAAAGAGCATATCATTGTCTTCATCATTAGCTTAGGGTTTAGGGCTTAAGTCAGTGCTTAGAATAATCCTGATATCAAATGCCCATCAAGAGAAAAGGTTAGCCTTTTCGATCCAATGGTGGTGTTCCTGCTTTTTACCTTGGTCACCTTTTTCACTTTGCTAAAACCTCTTTGCATGTCCATAAAGCAAGCAACCTTGGCCTGTCAACAAACATTAACAAGCTCTCAACATACTGCAGAAGCCACAGATTAAAGTCTTCACCATTGGCCTTTCCCTGCAGCACCTATATAAATGTCATTATGATTATTTGTGACTCGTTCTGAGTCACATGATCAGATATATTTAATCTCTCACCATTCCTGTCTTCTTTTACTTTTCCCAAGTCCGACATGGCTTGCAAACTCGAGGAATGGTTCCAATGAACTATCAAGTGAATCAATTCCAAATGGTTTCTGCTTGCTGGTCCCTTGTTTGAGGTGGGGGAGACCTGTGTTCAGCTCTCTCCTCCCCTTCCAGTCCCACTACTTTGTTGCAGTTAAGTGTTGGCACTTTTGACTGCCCAATGCCAGAGACATTCTCTTGGGGGCCTGCTCATGTGTGGCAGAGCACAATGCTTCCTTGATTCGAGCCAAAGTACCCTTGAGAAGGCCACCAAGACATTGGTGAGCACATGGTGGGAAAAAAGAAAGGCTTGCCACTCCATGTAACTCACTTCTTCTCCAACTTGCTTTCTCTACCATCTCTTCTTTATATAACAGATTCTTATCTCATACACTGAGACATAGAATATGAACTCTCTCTCTCTCTCTCTCTCTCTCTCTCTCTCTATATATATATATATATATATATATAAAATGTGGATTGGCTAGCTAGCTAGTGACAGTGGTCCTTATTATGTGCCACCTTTTCTGTACTGAAAAGGAGGGTTTCTGCTACTATGTGATGAAGGGTGGCTTCTGTGGTTGGAACTGGATGCTCAAGTTGGGGTTTGCTAGCTGCTCGACTCAGATATTACAATCCTTCCTCCTGGTGGTGTTGTGTTGTCGCCAACAATTCATTCTTACAGTTGCTTGGAATGTAGAGTTTCTAATTTGCTCAGTCTATGTATAGAGACTTACAAAGTAATGAAATTAGTATTTTTCTATGAGAATTTAAATGCTTAAAAGACTCTGGAACATGTTATGTTGTGAAGAGAAATAAGCACAAAGATGCACTAATTTAGGGTAAAAGAAAAAAACGAGCACTAGATCACAATATTCAAATGAAACATTTTAGAATATGCATTCGGCCCAATAAATCATTCAAATGAAAACCTGCAAATCTTCCTAATATAAGTTGTATCATAGTATAATTCAACAACTTTTTATGATGTAAATCTTGCTCTTCCAATGCACTATAAATTCCAATGAGCGATCCAAATTATTGTAAACTCAATTTGGGTCAAAGCAAAATAATTGGTGGTTTTCGTTCTACATAATGTAACATTTCCAATTCAATTCAGTGAGATAAGACTTGAATTAATTCATATGTTTAATAAAAATAAATAAATAAATCAGTTATCATATTAAATAAATTCATACTTCATATATAAAAATATATTGATCATTATTACTGCTTTTGTGGGCCGAATCAGTGGTCGGCCCATATAGATTACGTTACATTGGGCCGACGGAATAGCACAAGCCCAGTGCTACAATAACGATGAGGAGCGGCCGTAGAAAACAAACAAGATTTACGCGCATGGAGGTCTCCGCAGTTTCCCTCTGCTCCGCCTCCGCCTTCGCCATCGTCTCTCTCCCTCCTCGTCCCTGTCTTCCACAGCCTCTCTCCGGACGTTTCGTAAAGAAGAGCCGTAACAATGTCTGCCGGTTGTTCGCCCTCTCCAAAACCCTCCAACAATCGCACGTCTCCGCCTCCTCTTCTTCGGTCTCCCCTTCGCCGGTCACTGCGAAGCCCTCTTTCGACTCTCCCGCTAGACGGGCCGCGGTCGCCGAGGTCAAAGCATCTCCCGACCCGGTTTCGGTCCTCCCCAGGTGCTTTTCCTCGTCCGTTCCCTCTGTTACAAGATAGGGGTCTTGATGTTTCGGGTTAGGAGCTGTATTTTGATATTGGAAAATTGTTTCTTCTCGCTGTCAAGAAATTGGAATCTTGTCTCGAGTGGCTTCATAGGGTTCTTGATTCTTGTCTGGGGCTAGAACGGAGGTGTATTGCAGGGCAAAGACAAATTGTTGGATGTATGGTGGTTATGCTACATAATTGCGAAGAGCAACTAGTAGAAAAATCCTCTCTTTTGATGAGATTGCAAACTGGCATTGGTTTGTGTGTCCTCCGTCATTGGAGAATGAGGGCGAGGCCAAGAACTAGCATGACAACGGGTGGGGCAGGGAAGGTATTAAGAACTATAATACCACTCTGATCCACATTTAAAAACTGACCCTAATGGTTCTTTTCTATTGCAACACAATGTGAATAAATTATGAAAGAAATATATTTTCCCAATTTAGTAGGGAAAATTGTTTAGATGAATTTTTAGGGTGATTTTTTCATGGTGTGGGTTGGTCAAGGATGGTTAAGAAATATCATACCTATCCTGACCTAGTTTTGTTTATGAAAATTGTATGCCTCTGCCCAGTCAAAGTTAGTCAGATGTAACTCTATCTGCCATTTCGATCTTTTTTTTTTTTTTGACAAAAAAATGTTGGAACTTCACCCTGTACTTAGGCAATGATATTCCAACCTGACACCATTGGGCTGGTGCGCCAACAGTTCCAGTTGAAATTGTTTTTCCGTTCTCATCCTTAATTTCTTGTTATCTGTATATTTTATAGTTATGAATCTAATTATTTTGTGGCCTCTTTTTTGAAAAGCATACATCATGCTATTCTCTTATTTATTGCCTAATTGGTTCATCTGAGATAAAAAGCTGGACCTGGTAATTTCCTCTGAATTTTCCATTTGAACCATTTTATAGCACCACTGAATTTCATTTTCTTTCCCTTCTCATAAATTTTATTCATAATTTGGTAACTGATTATTCAATTGTTCTTTATAAGCTATTTCTAGTAGTACTTTGCTCTTGGAAGTTTGCCATCAGGTTATCATTTGCTTAAAACAACGTTTGCAATACCGAATGATACCGGCCGTACCGGGCGGTATGTACCGGTCCGCTAACGGACCGGTACACGGACCGTCCGCTACCGAACGGTACCATCGATTGAGGCCATTATCGTCGACGGTGACCGAGAGAGAAGAAAGAGGGAGTCGATGATGATCGAGGGAGAAGGTTAAAGAAGAGGCAGAAGGTGAAGAAAGAAATAGGAAAAAAAAAAGGAGAACCTAAGATTGGCGCTGCTCTCCTCGTCTGCGGCGACTTCTCATCCGCACGCGGGGAGAAGAGTATTGGCGTCGTGGGGCGAAGAGAGGCGATGCCTCAGCGAAAATTTTCTTTTTTGTCTGCGATGTCGCTCAAGAAGAGAGGTGGCGTTGCCTCGGCGACGTCGCCTTGTGTGGGGAGAAGAGAGGTATACCGAGCGGTTTACCTCTCATGTATATACACACACACACACACACACACACACACACACACACACACACATACTGAGCAGTATATTGAAATATACCGTTTGGTATACAGTACCGTAACGTACCATACCGAGAAAATCTTAAAATTCCAGTACGGTACGAAATTTCAATCCTTGGCTTAAAATACAAATTCCCCTATGCTTTCCCATTTTATTTTCCTTGTTTCTTTTCTTTTCATTTTTGAAAGTTTCTGTACTTGAATCAATGTTGAGATCTAGTATACAGAATACTATTCCTGATATTCTACACCTGTATGGTGTGATTTGAAATACGCCATGTTGATGACATTCTAGCATTGCAAGACTTTTATTATCATCCTTGGTAAACCTAATCCGCTTCAAATTTTTCTATGGTCCACATTTGACACTAATTGGATATTATCGATTTTGTATCATGTTTGTATTCATTGTATGCAGAGTTGAGGGAGTTTTGCAAGTTCAAGATTACAATAATCTTATACGCCATTTTGGGGAGTCAAGAAGATGGAATGAAATTTCTCAGGTTACTTAAATATCTTTCTTGTCTCATATAAGTTGAAATTAGTAATTATTATCTTGTTTATGTAATTATGTTTTATATGTTTGTAGCATTTCTTATTAAATCTGTTATGCTTCATTTTTAGATATTGTTTCCTTGTGTTTTATTTATAGCTAAAAGAGTATAATTTTTCTGTTGCATGAGTAAGTTTTTTAGTGCATATGCAGCAACTATACAACTGTTCACAGTAACACCAAGTTCTCTCTTAAGACTATCTGCATGTTCACAAAACATGAAATTTCAAGGGAATTCAGAGAGCATAAAAGAACAGTAATGGTTTAATGAATGATGTTTTGTGCCTTTTGTGCCCAGGCTAAATATTTCTAGGCAGCAGAATATGTCATCCTGAGCTTTATAATTCTTAAGCAGCCACATCTTTTCAGTTGAGCAGTCACATCAAGTTCTGTATTAAGACCATCTGTGTGTTCATAAAACACAAAACTTCAAGAGAAATATTTCTTTTTTACGCAAATTTGAGAACATATCATAAAAGTGAAAATAGTTATAGTTTAACATATAAAGTTTTGTGCCTAGGCTAAATATCTCTAGGCTGCAGAATCTTTTCTGCAGTGAAAAAAAGCTTCAGATTATGGTAAATACAACTGGAAATTGTTCTATAGATAAGTCAGCATCGTTGTTGTCATGTTATGGCTTATTTACAGCTGTGAGGGCCCTTTTTCTAGATTAAGTGGATAAGCTTTTCTTACTAATTAGTGATTATCCAGGCCATAGCTATTCAATATACACGCTATCTTGATTTTCTTTTCTACCAATAAAGCGTTACTAATTCAGATGTGCTTAATGAATAAATGACATGTTATTATTTGACGTATTCGTCACGCAGAGCATTCTGTGAAGCAGCTCTTTGAAAAAAATTGTTACAGTGTTCAGTTGAGGAGAAAGCTAAGGTCATTTTCTCTGTGATTGTGCAGCTTTTTGACTGGATGCAGAGGCATGGGAAGCTTAACTTTGCATCTTATAGCAGTTTTATCAAATATATGGGTATAAGTCGCAGTCCTATCAAAGCGCTAAAAGTCTATGATAGTATTCCAGATAAATCGATGAAAATTAATGTCTCTGTTTGTAACTCTATTCTTGGTTGTATGGTGACGAATGGAAGATTCGAGAGCAGTATGAGGTTGTTTGAGCAAATGAAAGATGATGGTCTATTACCGGATTTGGTCACTTATAGTACTGTATGATACCCTAACTCTTATTCTACTGCTAGCATTATTCATTCTTTTAGAAGTTTGTGAGTGATTATGGCAAGTCTTGCTTTGTTGAACTTGTTTTCCTGTTTATTCTAGCTTTTATCAGGTTGGATTAAAGTGAAGAATGGTTACTCTAAGGCAATGCAATTGGTCCAGGAGCTTCGGAGTAAAGGTTTGCACATGGACAGTGTCATATACGGCTCTCTTCTGGCTATTTGTGCTTCAAACAATTTATGTGAAGAAGCAGAGATGTATTTTCAGCAGATGAAAAATGAAGGCCATCCTCCTAATGTATTTCATTACAATTCTTTGCTCAATGCATACTCAGTTGATGGGAATTATATGAAGGCTGAGAAATTGGTGAATGATATGAAATCTTCTGGATTAGTGCCCAATAAGGTTTCTTTTCATCA